ATAATGGAAGTTCCCTACCAAAAGGGACATTTAATTCACTGTTGGACAGATTCACATTCAAGTACATGTATGTGACTGTGAAGTACTAGCTGGCCTGGCCTGGTGCGTGACAAGGTACAATGTACCTTAGAGACTCTGTGCAAAGCAGGGACGATGGAGTAGACATTCCTTTTCAATCAAGTGAAAGGATAAGCAGCTTGTATCAATGCCAGCTCCTCCTGATCCTACAGGCAAATTTGTATGTCTTTCTGGAAGAGGTCCCAAAGGACATGGGAAAGACAGCCGCTGACACGACATTATCAAACCTTGAGAAGAGGTGATGACACCCGGTGTTATTAGTATTCTAGTCTGCCCACCACTCTGTAACTGGTCTGAGATTGGACAAGCTTCAACAAAAAGGAAAAGGGAAACTGTGGTGGAATATGGAGATAGCATCAGGCCACTGAAATTGGTTCTTCCCTGGAACGGAAATGGTTCCATCCCAGCACTCAGAGAAACCGTAGCAAAGACTCAACCTTTCATTACGCAGAGTAATTTTGGTATGCTTCGTATTAAGCCACTGATGGCAGAAGCAGGCAGTGCGCTGATGTGCCCTGCCGCTGGCTGCTATGCATACGTAGTGGCAGGAACCGCACTCCCTGGAGGCGAATGTGAAAATGTGGCTGGCGACATGACATTATTAAAACCTCATCAGGGGTTATGCCTTCCCTGGTTAGTATGCCCCTGCATGTCCTACATGGATGTGTCCCTGTTTCAACATGGATAAAAGAGATGGTTTTAAGCAAAATTAAAAAAGAATTCATTGCATAATACTATACTATGTAAAGAAGGGTAACTGAAAGGGAACAGTCAAAGATATGCATGGAACACTTCTAATATGTTGTCTATATTAGTTGACAAAATCAGAAGTCAGGGATAAAGTTGAAATCTCTTCCAGTAGAACAGCAGATCTCTTGGTTTCCTGTATTTGCTGCCGGTGAATAGTAATCAATAGTAGGTTTCTGATCTGCAACTTGGGAATATCAATTACTTGTAGCTGGCAGTCATATTTAAGCAACTGGGTTGGGTGTTACTAGAACTATCTAAGTGTACTTTGCAAGAGGTATGTGCATACTGAAGGCACAATGCTGTCTGACTTTGCACCTGTCATGGAGACACTAAGATAACAAAATCATGGAAAAGTAGTCACAATTTGTGTTAACTAGGTACATGTATATGTACAATGTGCAGGTGTGAAAAAATGTGTATGACTCTGAGACTATAAAAACTGACATGTTTGTCCATAATATTTTTCAATACTGGCAGCAGGTGCATTTTCCCAAATTTTCGCAAAATGTCTTAAGAGTGTCTTTGGTCAATCACTTTTAAGCTAAAACTATCAAACGTTTGTAAAGATCATAAATAAATACATGTATTAGGTGTAATAATTCCAGTTTGAGGCTGTGACATTATCTTAAAGATATCCAGTCTTGCATATCTCCCTGCTGTGAACTTTTAATCTTTTGTGTGGAACCTCAAAACTGCAAGTGCCACCGGGAAGTGATGGCATCAACCCAGAGCCGTGAAATCCACAGGGTGTTCATACATGTATCTTACGGCAACAGGAAGGCAGAATTAATATTCACAGTGTTCAATCCTCCCAGCTGTAATGTCTCCCATTTAATATCTTTAATTATCAGCAAATCATCCTGATCATACTAACATAAATATTCACACCCATTGAGCAGTGCTTACCAACCACAGAATCAGTCACTGTCAGGTCCTAATAAGGTGCACAGTCATGTAATGAAGTGTCATGTTTGTTAAGATCTTCATGCTCACAGTCTCTCCAAAATACCAATGTGATGAAAATGTTGACACCATTTTGACTTTGCAATTATGCTACTTTCATTAAGTACACCACAAGCATATAGAGTATAGACAGCAAATGAAAGTATCATTGTATGGAATGAAATGAGGGTACCAGTATTACTCAGACAGCAAAATATACTGCAGCTGCCCATAATAATGAGCAGAAGCAAAGTTCTCTATAATGGATTAAAAAGGCCCACTGTGTGGGGTTATTGTTGTTTAATGTTTTGCAAATCATAAGGTACAAAAGTTTGTACTAGCAAATTTTTGTACTAGGAAATTTTTATACAACTGTACTCTATTTCTGTATTTGTTTTTTCTACTTTCTTTATCTTTTTGTAAACTTTCTAACAGAGTTCTAAAATTGCTACCGCCATCAGTCATAAAGCTTTACATTTCGTCCATGTCAAAGAATATATATACATTGTAATTGCAGTTCAGGGGAGATGCCAACACAATTAAAAACATACTGATTTCAGCCCAAGATGAGGGCATGTTACATGCAACAGAGGATCCTGAACTTTACATTCACTCTAAAATGACTTTTAAAACTTGCCATTCACATGATGCTCTCCCATGGTTCTCCTGGGTCTAACTGCATTTTACAGGTGATGAGGAATACTAATCCTCCTATTTCCATCCAACTCAGCTGAATCGAGCTCACCACCATGTATGCTGATACTACGGGTGTTAATTTGCCGAAAAGTGCCTAATAGATGAAATTAAATTCATAAAACGGACCATTGATCAGGGTAATGAGAGTGCAGGTCATTCCTCTGTCCTCTGGGGAGGAAGGAATTAGACACAGTTGTATTCTAGGGAGCACATGGGCCTGGTTGTCTCAGCCTGATGACATATTCTTCCCCATGCCTTGTCAATCAAGTAGTCCCTGGAGCTCTCCTAGAGGGAGATGTCTGCTGGGTGTTTATCTCCTCATCAGTAGAACAAGCCAAATTAACATTCTGTACCACACACTTATACCGGGCAATTAGTGTGGCCTATTTTTTTTACATCTCAAGAAAATACCCTGCATGTTTCCTGATCTAAAAGAAAAACTTTCAAAAATAACTTTGTCTAACATTTTACCACACTCAAGCAGCATGCTTTTGATAATATTTAAGTATACAAATGAAGATATGGGGATGATTCTACATTTGTAATGCCTGATTCATACTGAATCGGGAAAAATTGACTTATGAAAAAAGTTCAGATTGGAAAATGGTGCCAGTGTGAATTAAAATTGACTGAAACAATTAGGAGAAAGAAGGACTGGTGGCATTTTACAGCACAGCATGCATCCCCTGTTCTTATGTTGTTAACATCATAAAGCAATTCAATCAAATACTGAACAAAGAGTTTTGAAACAATGTTGCTGTCCATGGTGCTGAAGTAGTAGTGCAATAACTCCACAGGCAATATTTCAGTAACATCAAAATTAACGACACACTGTGTTGGTAACATAACTACTTGTCTTTGTAGAAGAAGAACATGACTCAAAGCAGATAGAAATATGATTTCTGCACAGCTGCTACGACTTTCACCTGTCAGAATGTCCTTCAATACCTTACCCCATGTGTCATCCAAGATTTAAACAAAGGAAAAAACAATCACTGTACTCCAAAACAGTCTCTGCTGGAGGTGTGAAAAAAGGAATCTGATGTATGTAAGTATTGGTCACCTATGTGACATGTTAATGTGAATATTAGTGCAGAACTGTTACTGTAACCTGTTGCACTGAAGTGTCCCAAAGACAGTAATTTACCATTACTGTGTAGATGTTAATGAAGGAAATTACCATTCCTGACCACATCCTCCACACCTCCACCTGCCAACTCAGCTAGAAAATGGGGCACTTCCCACTCCCCGACCTCCATTGTCCATAGGTTAGGGGTCAAACGCTTGATGGCCTAGGTAGCTTTCAATTTTGAGCCTTGGGAGACGACCATGTGACTACGGACCATTTGCGCAGCCACGCAGAGCTAATGGTCAGCTAAATCTCACTCGTGAAACTGGCTGACCAGCACGTACGGTTTGAGTGGGGAGTCAAAGGTGACCGAACAGGCTGGCAAACACAAGGAGAGTCATAGACTCATACATGTACATTGAGAATATTATCCTGTGTGACTGTGTTGTACATGTAAATGTATGTGTGGAGTTGTCATTGAGTTCACCCAATGTGTACACGCACACAAGTGGACTTTTAGAAGCAGAACCTTTACATTTGTGTATTATTTGCATAAAATATACATAACAGGGACTTAGTAATGTGACAATCTTCATCTTGAACCTGTAATGTAAATTGTAGCTTATTATGTTAGATATAAATGTATCAAATATGCTATGATACAACTAATAATGTAATTTCAGCGACTGATCATCAACGATCTTTACATCTATTTCACGTAGCTCTTTCAGTGATTTTGTTTTATGACACACTACATCCGAATAATGGTTGCTGGGAACCAAGCCTGAGCCGTGCATATGCTCAATACAGCAACACAAAACAGGACTAAGTCTCACCATTTGTCAACGTCTCAGCTGCTAACACCCTATGTCTGCTCTGTCAAGAAAACTTACAGTCCAAACTTAGTTTCCTGGGTAACCTACACACAGGCCCACTTCTGTGCTTCTTTCTTTTCTCTTGTAATCCTTTGTACCACTCTGAAGACTTCTTTTTCATGCAATAGCAAACATTTACACAGAATTTTAAAAGCTGGCTGCATTCAGAGACTGACTGAGTTCTCAATGGTCCATAGACCTACATACATGTGATTATGTGTGCGCCAGGATTTCTTGTAAGTGTTGCGTCTAACCCTCAGAAGACGGGGAACAACAGACGACAAACCGGAGAGTAGATGAGTGAGAGTGAGTGTTGCCTACCCAGTGGCAGACTTTTGTCTCACCTGACAATGTGCTCGATTCCCTCTTGGACATCACTTATCGTTGCATTGGTAACATGTGTGGAGAACATTGTCTAGCTTGACACATTAACATTTCCCATGTGCTCTAGCTAATTACATGCACAGTGGCCCTATAAGGGGTGGACCTTGCGGAAGAATAGCCACAATACTGGACCTATAAAGTTAAGGCCAAGCAGCTTTTTGTTAACAATGAACTAGAAAAAGGTTAAAGATGTGAGAATCACATACCTGGCTAATCCTGGGCTTGGAGAACTGCCAAACCTGCAAATGGCAACAAAAAGCATATGCTTAATGAAAGGTGACGTGACACTGACATAATGACTTAACAGAAAAAATCACACTTTATCACATCGTCATAATTTGATGATCATTTGTAGTAAATTGTACTCATCCTTGTGTCCATTCTCCTTTCTCTTAACTTTCTACTCATTCTTCCTTACCACACCCATCCTTACTCTCTTATATCATCATTTCAATCACAGCATTTATCCATCTTAATATCATCCATCCTACCATCTGCCTATCCATCACTCCAGTGATCATTTCATGTAGCTTCAAGATCTACAACTTTGAGAAGGTATTTTGCTTTCTTCCTTATGATTACTTCTTCTTCTAAGACTTCAACACGAAACAGTTACAATTTTCACAACAGACTGCACAAATCACACACAAAAAATTCCTCAAACATGGTTTCTAGGCCTTTGCTATAAACAGCCATACAACCTCAATGACTTGAGTTTACAGCCCATTATACACAACGTTGGAAATTCATTTTAAAAATCTACGATCTGGATATTGCGGAATATGACCAGAGGACATTTTATATGGGACTGTGGTCATCACCCTCGTCATAAAACATGGGCGGAGGCGTCCTGAGCATGTATGCAATAATAATACCTCCCAGCAACATGGGACATTTTCAACACACGGCTACTGGCAAGACTGCTGCTTCAGAATCAATACGCTGTCTAAAATGTTAAAAAGCAGGACACAGGTACACATACAAAAGGGGGGAACGTGTACAGGAATGATACATCTTTTATTACAGCATCAGGAATAAAACAAATGGACTGAGACACAGCCAGGACACTGTGACGTCCCCTGGATGTCTAATTTCCCGTGTCAACGACTGGGGTGGCACTGTAATAATGATGCCAGCATCCCAGCTGTGATATGAAATATGTGGACTTCATTATAGTTCAAGCAATGAAACTGCGCGGCATGTAATGTACAGGCACCAGGTAGCACCCCACTTCTTCTGCCTAATCTCCCGTGTCGGCGGGAGGAGTGAGACTTCTGATGACAAGGAAAACACAAGCGACCACAATCCCATGCATGCTGATGGCAAGGAAAGTGGGACACAGGTTGTGGAGTAAGCTCAGGTGACAAGACTTCCTGAGACGGTGCATGCTGCTGTATCTCCTGAGTTAAGTGTTTTAAGCCAACCTGCTGCAAATTGTCTACATGTAGCCTCACTACAAAAACGTACATTATATAGTGCTGCCTGTGATACAAATGTTGTACCAACAAAATGTGATTATAGTACTGCTGTATGATGGTAAAACTTATTAAGAGAAGTTAAGTCTTTTTCAAATTAAGATACTACAAGATCTGAACTTGAAGCAAGATCTAGTAAAGTACTACTTTTGAGAAGCTCTAACTACATTATGAAGGAGCGTTCATAAAATTACACTATGTGATTGCCCTACTAAAGGTAAGCACAGCCATTTTTAGACGAATATACTGTAGTTAGCATCTACAGTCAACTATGTTACAAGTTGTCATGAACATTTTCTTTCATCATCAATGGAAAAACAAACTTAAAGTTTAAGGAAAATGGATAGCAGAGCCTCACAGATAGATAGCCAAAAAGATTACTGAGTATTTGTGAATATTGAAGTGCAGCGAAGCAAAGTAGGCACAAAATTAACAACAACACTGAACGATACATAGCAATTTGTAAGCTCTGCATGATACATCTGTACATGCTGGGAAGGCATGGTGTGAATAGCAGGTAGTCTTAATCTTCCTTATGCAACACACTCCTACAAAGGGAAGTGGCCAGTCTGAATATTTTTTTTTTTCAGTTATGATCCTACTCAACCTTTAGAAGTAGTTCAAATGCCATTCATGCTAATCCCAATCCTCATATCACCCCAGGGAAGCCCCCAGCATGCACCATCCAGGCACTAAGAACCTGTGATTGACAGTTTTCTCATCAAGACTGAACATAGAGTCTTGTTCGGTGCACGCACCAGTTGCTGTAAGAAGGGTGATGAATAAGCAAATCCGCGGCTTCAGAGCTTATTCTGTGAGAAGTCCTTGCATTGTTGATGAGACATTTATCCTATTTTATTGTCAGATTATTCGGGAAAATGATGGCGGATGGCAATGTAAATCCAATCATCAAGTTTTAATCAGCACAGCGAAGTAACTCCTATACAACTGTTACAGTATTTTTTAATGCTGACGAGTTTGACCGAAAATTCATAGTGATTCCCTTTTGGTGTTGGATCAAAGCTTTAAACTTGACCATTATGGACTCTACCAACACAGATTACATGTAGCTTTTATTCAAACAGTATTTCTCTTGTTCAAGTTGCATTATAAACTATGTGAATAATGTGAATGATGTGATTCTATATCTTTGATAAAAGCTAGTTGGAGACATCTTGACTTTAGTATCTATTTCTATACACAGCTCTTGATGATGAAGTAAATTTATAGCTAAGATTACAGTCTTAAAAATCTAATACTTGCCAGTACTTAAAAGTTTACCCAGGGGGACAATACCTTGTAACAACAAATATGAGGCAATCTGGTTTACCAGTATCTGTTTTTGTTAACAACACCCACAGTGATATTTATTGTACAACTTTGGAAAGGTTGTACATGCAGTGCTTCCCCTATATCCTAATAAATTTACAAAGTAACCATAATTCATGTAGAATTATCATGTTTCCTGACCTGTATGCAGGAATGAAACCATAACGTGCGAGAACAGCCTGCCTTAATTGTCAGACCTTAGCACTCTGTCTTGTGTGACAGATTGTTTAAGTACCTGAAAAAACTTGAAGTTCGCATCCCAGGTGTGAACTAATTTGCAAGGTGTGCCTTTACCCATATATTGTAGTTCCAGCCCAACCGATGTTTAATCACGTTACTGCAAGAAGGTTGCCTCCCTGCCCTCTCCCATCACCTGTAGGGGATAGGCACTAATTCCACTACATTAGTTCAGCTATAGAAGTTTGGCTAATGCTGTTACTTGGAGGCATTACCGGAGACCCTTTGTGCCTAGAAAATGGTTGCTCCCAAAGGGGACTTTCAAAAGGTCTTAATGCACTCCTGGCTGAAAGCTTTTGCTCCGGAACCCCATGGCCTTCACCAATGGAATATATTACTTTCCACTTTTTCAAAGGAATCTCATGAATTCGTGTTGATCTCAATGTGACAAGTGCAATAATTATAGGTAATCTAGGCATGGCATGATGTATGTGAACTACGGCTGTAATCATGTGCATATGAATATTGTCTGGAAAAATTACACAGGCATCCTTCAGCATTACTGTTATTACAAGATTATGTATGATACCATCGGTGACCTTTTTCCCTATTCCAGGCTCAGGAATGCAGGTGTGAAGTGCTGATTTACATTTAGTGTTGCAGCTTCAATGCAACAGGAATAGTTATCAATAGTTTTCTAACTTTCCTCTGCAAAAAGAGCAAAATTGTTGGAATATCATTATCATAAATCATGTTGACAAGTTAACTGCATAAAGAAGAGGATCTATGTCATTATATTTGACAAACAGGTTTGAAAAATGAGCAAAAAACGTGTAAATAATGAGATAAGCATAAGCTGCTTACTTTGTTTTTCGAGTCCCCTCTCATCCCTGGTTTGATTGAAAATGATTCATAAGCCAACATACTTTTAGATATAAATGAAAATCTTGTCAGGTCCCATTATCTAGGTTGATGGGGATAACACAATCACAGCAATCAATCTACAGAGGAACTTAGCTGCATTCTCAGCCACTAAATGGTCTTCCATGCACCCTTAAGTACCGACAAGGGACACATTCTACTACCTTGGAAGCAGTTTAGAGGCAGCTAATTTCTAGGCATGGCTCTGAGGCACTCATTCCAAGGATTAAGGCGACTGTCACAACAAACATATTTTTCTCTAGCGCAACTAAACCTGGACATTCTCAACAGTTTAAAGGATATAGCATTAAATCTTTCAGGATTACTCATGCTAATCAGTGGAAACCTGCAAAGTGTTGGTGGACAGCCAAGACTGTAACTGGTAAGAACACACAATGTTATTCATTTGTGAAATAAGGAAACGTAATAATGCAACTAAAAAGGGTATCTTGCTGACAAATATTGATAGTTTTCACTGTGAATACTAAATATAATTGGATTTAGTAGTCACAGTCATATTATTCGTGGGCAACTTCTACTAAATTTGTATTCTTTATGAATGAATAATCTTTATGCTGCATCAATTCCATGCCAGTATACTTCTGATAGTTCCGAATGCAATAAAAGTTCCCTTTAAAAACCTACCTAGTGTACAATCTTCAAGAGTATAAAAATCCACCTAATATCATTGTACACAAATGAAACAAAGAACCACACAGACCAAACCAAACCCTTCCATAAAAACATAAAAAATAGACTGACCATCTCGGAAGTGCATGCCTAACTTACAATCGCACACAATGGTTTTAAAGGCTGTACTTTTCTCTGACAACCTCAAGCACATTGCACTCAATTTTCGCGGAAAATTGATTCAAGACCACTTCAGGTTCGGCTAGAAATAGTATTCTGTGGCATTTATGATTTTTCTATTACGGAATCTACCTGAAATCATCTTGGCTGAGACAGAAGTGTCAGCAAGGGACACATTCTACTGCCTTGAAAGCATTTTACCTGCAGCGTTTATATAGGTCATCTGGCCTGGGGGCAGCGCTGGCTTTAAGTGGTGACCATCACAGCCAGCTGCTGGCTTACTATCTTAAGTGTTCATTTCTTGCTTCAGTGGCTTGGAAGGTGGTCAGAGTCTCAGGTGGTCATCACAAGGGTTATTTGGGACCATGACAAGCCTTGTTCTACATGGACAAGTCAGGAAACTGTCCTTTATGCACAATTAAGTCTTTTGGGAAAGTTTCTGACACTTCATGCATGCTTTGTAAATGAGCAGTTAGTGCTTAAGGCAAGCATCAAATTGGAAGATTTTATGTATTTGGACATAGCTTCATTAAAAAGAAGACTGTAACACACATTGTATCTTTGGAAATGGGTTCCGTAGAGTAAGTCTATGACAATCTTGCTGCAATTCTTTCCTCACACTAAACTTTATCATCTTCCCCATCCTGTTCCCTATACATGTATCTTATTATAAAACACAATAACAATCTCAGCCTCCTCCTTCCAGGAGACCCTCATTGTAAAACATCTTACATTCCATACATAAACGTTTAATGTTATGTTCATTACAGTGACAGTACTCCTCTAATATTAATATAAAAAGATGTCATATTGGAATCTTTCATTACTCTACAGTAATACATAGATGGACATAAAGATTACAGTACCTGTCTTAGGACTGGAGATAAATCTTAAAGTTGGGGATATTGTTACATTATAATTTATGCCCCATTCTTCATGAAGCAGACTTACATGTTAATGGAAGTATACCCATAAAATCAAGAAACATAGACCTGTCATAATCTTATAAGCCCTGACCCTATCTATAACGCCTGGTTAATACTGGTCTATTTTATGTATGCATGCAATAATAGCAAAACAGGAGTAAATCATCCCTCTATATTGACCTTTGCTTTCTAATAAGGTTACAGAGGTCATGTCTGTATCAAAGAACAGCCACAACAGCAGCCCCAAATCTGTCATTTTCTTCAAAATGAAACTAGATATGATTTATCAATGTAATTGTTCTTTTGTGCTGGACAAAATTAATGTATTTACACTATAAAAACATGATCATGCCAAATCATATCTAAAAGAATTTATGGCCATGTATGGTTTTAGTTTGACGCACAGGGACAGTTCCATGGTTTTACTGCATGAAATAATACTCACCCAGTCCACGATATTTAGGTTGCATGATATTGTTCACAAACTTTCAATACTTGGAACTCTTTTATAATCACAATCAAGGTGGAAGTTATTATGTTAAATAGCTGACTATATCAATTGGAAAACTAACAAAGTTTTGGATGGATTTGTATGATCTAAATTTTTTGGTATGTTGTATTTAACCTCCTTGATATAAGAGACAAGTTATGTTACACAGGAGTTTTGTGTTCTGAGTGCTGTCTTTTTTCTGAATTTGCCTCTTGTACTCCTCTCTCCCTGTCTTCCCGTCTGTACAGTTATTTGGGAACAGCCTGGCTTTACCCTGTCCACTTTTACTCAAACATACACAATCATGTATACATGTAACTCTCTCCATGGGGCCAGTCCCCCCAGGGTCTGGAGGTAGCTGTCATTATGCAGATAGTACCATTGTGTGACATGATTGCTTCAAATTGCTTGATATACGGGCATTTCATCCTTCCAGCCAATTCCTACAGGGACAAAGGGTTTTTCATGCTGAGCACTGAAATGCAGTAGCAAGCACTGATCCTGAGGGATAACTTCACACAATAAATATTTATTTCTGACATGAAATTTTTACAATGATTATCACGGTTCCTCATTACTATGCTCTGGAACTGTCAAAGCAATGGGATACATGAACATTGACACCCCTGGGATACAATTTCCAACAAATTATCAAGACTTTGAGGAACAAAAACCGGTAGTACATTGATTTGCCTACTAGATTCTGGCATCATCAGATTTATAATGTCTAACATGGTTATTGGAGGATTGTGCATGTTTCCAGTAGTAATTTTATTAAATGAAAAGACTCAGTTGGTCATGAAAATGACATCTCTTGAAGAAATAATTGAGACTATGAGACATGCTGATCCAACTGTTGCTGAATTCTGATTTGCAAATCTACCGAGCTGTCCAGAGGGGGGTACTACATGGGATGAAACAGCTTTGAATCTGTGAATTGTTTCCTAATAAGTGATCAACAGGCCTCTATAGGTAAAAAGAAATTAACAATTAAATTTGTCTCTTTCCATTGTGTCTGCACAGCAAGCAACTTGTGCAAGATTAGAGATATATGGTAAAAAATATATAGAATTGTGACATTGGGTTTCTCCCCTTCATTACTGATGCCAAGCACCAATACCTGTAGAGGGAGGAGGGTTGGCACCTGGAAGAGCCGCAAGTCAGGGAGACGGCTATGATTTCTGTTGGAAAGCTGTGCTCTGTCGACCAATCCCTGCTCAGCACCGGCAGCCACCTGCAGGGCATCTGCGTTTCACAGCACCTATCTTACTCAGCCTTTGCTACACTGTGGGGATGAACCAGTCCTCGGCTCGCCACACGGAGGATTGCTACGACTGGGGAGCTGCAGCTGCTTGATGGTGCGGGGATCCATCCCCCGACCTGTAGCTGTTTTGTATGGAAGGTGTGTAGGGATCATCACCTGGGACCATGTAGCATTTCCTACGACAAGTGAAGATGATGGGCCGGATCGCTATGGTGTGACAGTCTGAGGTTGGCTACAGCTCAGGAAACTGTGGCTGAGATTTGGGGACGTTTGATATTTAAGAGACTGTCGGATGATGGTATTCCCTGGAATGCCTGATCAATGAAGAGGTAGGTATTTACAGGTATGCTTGTCCATGGAAAATTTGATGGGAATATAATAACCGAAACTGTTGAAAATAAAATCATCACAAAATTACTTAAAGACTACGAACCCAAGATTGCTGAAATGATTCTTACTCTGGGAATATCTGCACGTTCTTTTGCATCTTTGTGTGATAAACAAACATCTCTGCCTCGAGGTGAACACTATTGCATATATGGGTGGTGAGTGGAACACAGTCATGAAATATTGTGCATTAATCGTGAGGCGATTGCAGGAAATCTAGTATTGACAGTTGTAGGATGGATGGGCTGACTCTCCGGGGAAGCAGCCTTTCCACCACCACCAGCCTTGTTGATAAGCAAATCTCCTGTGAAGGAATTTCCAAGCTACTTTACTCCCAAATATCACGGAATAGAAATGGGGTGTTAAAAAGCCAAGACTGTAGTCCAAGGGAGTGTTATGCTTGCCTAAATGAGTTGCAAAGAAGGATGGCAGAATGCTACAGTGCCAGCTCTAGTGTGTACCCCCATGTTCTAACAATACCCTGGACTGAACAATGGCAGGGGTTAACGCGCTGTGAATGATTGATTTTACAATGTGATGGTATTTTTCCCCTCACTGCTCTCTAGTTGGGATTTGATTACAGTCTTAAACAAGAAGGCAGAGGCTCATGAATATCATCATCGAAGGCACTAGGGGAAATAATGATTCAATCTTTTTCACTATGTCAATTGCTTATGACAATAGTTATCATAAGTGTGTTGGAGGGCTTGATGATGATTTACCATACAAGTCTCACAAATTACTTGTTCTGGCGTAGCATACTATATCATCAGGACTTTTGTCCACATATAAAGTGTTTTTCAACAGATTTTATTCTACCGCGGTATACTGTCATACACTGTTGCCACTTTCAAATGGCATCAACTTTTCAATTTAAAATTCTTACCAATTCAATGTAAAAAATTTGGGCCTGTTTCTGTCTTGCTAACAAGATCTTACAACTTATGCGAAATTATGACAATGAAGAATTTTCTTAAACTGTGATAGCAGTAATCAAAGCTGAAGTTTCTTTTCAAGCTGATCTATTCCAGTGGACTGACTGACAGTATGGTATTGCCAAAATCATTATTAAGGAATATGACAAACTTGAAGGTGCATGTATATCTGGAATTAACACAACCAAAGTTAACACTTGAAATACAACATAATATTGCTATGACATTTGTACAGTTTACAAATGCATCAGAAATGAAATCTTAATACTGCAGGTATGTCACAGTGATGGAGAGGAAGGTAAATTCCAAACACATGCAAGGAATCACTTAGTGAGTCAAGTATTACATGTGACCAATCCTCATAGATTTACTGTTGGCATGGCACCTTTATGGCTTAGTAATATCATACATTTTCACACCTGCAAATCTTGGCTGGGAAAAAGTTATAATTTGTTACAGATGTTATGTTAACGCTTGCAACTAGATTATGTGTACAACATGGATCCTGTTGCAAGGAAGTATGATGTCACTAAACTACGCAGTATCTTGGATTCGCATTCAAATTTGCAACAGGGATTCCCCTGTTCTGTGCAGGGGCACCTCTCCAACAAGGTGGGATAATTTATGTGGGTGGCCTGAACACTCTATAATGACTCCTGGATGCTTAGAACACAGGTCAATTAGGAAAAACTGTTACTGGGTCAGGGATGACTTTATAACAGCATTATGAGGGATCCCTAGAATGGCCAGTATCTTGTCAGATGGAAAGACTGAGCCATGCCATCAGTTATCCATCATCCTAAGAAATGTAGAACTATAGGTCATGTCATAACACACAGCGTGGTATAATAATCTGAAATGGCGACCGTTGTGTGGGTCAGTTTCACGTCACGAGCGCTGCGTTCCCCTGTGTAACGGTTGCACTTTGAATAAAAAGCGTAATGGATTGCTACATGTTTATGGTTGACTATTTGATAGAAATTGGGTAGAAATGGGTTTGTATGTGATTGATGACACGAGGCTGGACTGCTGTGTGGTGTTGATGGTGTCCCTTCTGGACAGCTGCCTCACACTTAACCCAGGGAAGGGACAATGGGGCTCACAATGTGGGGTAAGTGGCAGATGTAGCAGCCTTCATATTGAACATGACATGTCAGAAATCGCCGGCTGATGAATGGTTTTACTTTGGCCATGTATTGTTGGGGCAAGCTGAAAAAAATAAAATGGAAGTAATAACCACTAATGCGATGTAATTGTTTCAGAATCTAGACATGTCCTAGAAATGATGCAGAATAATAATGTCAAATGGTGCATTTATCTGAGAAACGTTATATAACATCACTGACAGTGTGTACCTTCTAGGCCCCACTCACTTTGTTACAGGCTGCCTTTCTTGTCTTAGTATCCTTCATATATTTCATGGGGCATTGGGGAACATTACAGAGGCTTTCTACCTCTACTGCTGATTGTTCCAGATTCCTTTATTACTCCATATAGCACAATATCCTCGGCCTGTAAATGTGATGTTTTCCTGACAAGCCCTGAATAAATTATACATTGTATGGCAGTAAAGCTGTCACCAGCCCAGGGTTAGGTGGACATTACATCTCATCAAGCTAGCCCTTCATTCTGCTGTTGTTAATACACCAGCTAGTGCTTTGATTTTTGTGATAAACTTCATTTGTTACTGTATTACCAAGGGAAATGTTACATACAATAGTTACTCATGCTTTGGTGTAACAGTCGAGGTTCTCTATCTCATAAGACATACTGGTATCACTTTTTTTTTTGTTGGCTTTCATATAAATGTAGCTGTAAATACTCTAGAGCAGAATTGTAAGTGTATATTACTGTACAGTATATAAAATATCATCCCCACCAAAGCATTCAAAATGAATGATTTTATCTGGCTAGTGCTGGCAATAAAGCTGCCCTTTCAATAATATTTTGCAGGTCCATAGCTGTATGCTCAGTGAGATTGGACTTTTATCAAGTGAAATATTCTGGCCCTATATCACTGTCATGCTGATGTAGAAAAAGACAGAGTGGACAGTAGCGACTTGATCTTCATAAATCTGGTGAATTATTCCCTTGAACCCCATTCCTGTATAGCTAATATTGCCCAGTGATCAGTTTCCCCAGGTGCTGAAATAAAGATACACCACCCAATATCTCAGCTATGAAACACGATTAATGGTCATGAGCTTCGACCATGGAATCAATGGCACAGGCCAGCTAAAGAAACCACTTTTCCAATACCTCTACCATATATCTAAACTGGTACCGACAGTATATATAATTTATATATATATCAGCCATACACATTACTGTAAATTACAATCCAGGGAAAGCAGCAAATTACTTGCACCAGCATTTCAAATGTTATTCAGCACTACAAAATCAAATATTTGGCTGAACAAGCAAAACAGAGAAAAAACAGTATTAATGTTACAAAATTCCTGTACTCAAGTGCCATTCTCAGAAGGCATTGATTTTCTGTGCTTTATCGTTCACTGGGTTTCTCTGCAATAATGAACTTACAATTGAAAGACATGCAGGCTCATGGTTATATTATTTCAAAGCTTTTATGACCTTGACAAATATCAATCATTTCAAGTTACTTTCCTCTTCCAAATCATCAACATATTCTGCAACACATCCTCTTACCTTCCTGAAGATGGTACAGACCATTGCATTGCAGCATTTGTTACCTTCACATGCTCATGGATCATTTGGTAATACATAGTAGTAAATGGTCCATGCCAGGTACAAATATTTCAGATAAATGGAGCTTTTTCACTTAAGGAAAAGGTTGGGAATGGCACACAGCAGCTGAAGAGGGGATGAAGTTACAATATAGGATCTTATTTCGGGCATTACAGTCTAGATATTACACGTACAGTGTACGTTTGTATAGGTGTGCTGCATCTTGCTGTAGATTACTTACAATCAATTACAGGGTTTAACTCACAGGAAGGAATAAGAGTGTACCATACATTGACGATGATTGTATTTTGACCAATGTTGACTGAGCTCCAAAGGTATATACACTTGTATGTACCATTAAGACATGGCCTGGGCCTATGATGCTTCCTGAGGTTGGTACACAAATGTATCTGCATATGTGAGGACACGCCCCCCTCCCACAGTGATGGCAAATAATACGTGACGTTAGGGTCACTCTAGGAAAACAACAATTTAGGAATGAGATGCCAGTTTTAGAGTCTCACAAATTGTATTTCTCCTAAAGATGCATTTGATGCGCACTTTTCTTCTTCGGGGTCCGTGGTAATTAAACATCCATACACACAGAGTCTCATATTTTCATTTCTTGCTTATCATTTTGCTATTTTTCAAGAAAAGTCTATACATGCATTGTACCACCACTGAAGCCTACTGACCTGTGAAGTGCCTGGGAATCAATGGCAGGTTATTGCAGGTACATGATAACCCATGTACGCATGTAGGGGAAGGAGGCCAGATTTAACCAGTTCAAGCAACACAGTGGTGGTGGTGGTGGTGGTGGTGGTGGTGGTGGGGAGGTATTCCTATATATAGGTTATAACGTTATATAGGTTATATAGAAATATATCAAGGTTTTCTGTCTGTAATAGTTTTTAATTACGAACGCTTACTAATAGGTAGTCCTCACTCATTTTCTGCTTCAAAATGTAATACAACTACATTCCATCAAATATATGCAGTGCTTTTTCTTGAATACCATTCAATTCTTAAATTACCTTGATCCCATGCTATGAAATGCTTATTTCAGACTATACTAAGGCCCTATAGGTGAAATACAACTAGCAAGGTAATAGGCTTGTCATTTAATTGTGTGGTGACAATCACAATTCTTCATGCCACACATGGTCACCCACTATGTCACAAAAAAGACTGCCCCCAGAAGGAAGTGTAATGTCCCCACATTGAATATTAAATGTTGACTAAAATATCATCAAAATGGAACAATTTCAGTGTTGATATCTTCCATCTATCATCATGTCATGGCC